ATGGTCTCGATCTCTTGACCTCGTGATCCACCCGCCTTGGCCTCCCAAAGTGCTGGGATTACAGGCTTAAGCCACCGCGCCCGGCCCCATGTTATTTTTCTTATTCCCACCCTAAAACTAAACTCAAAGACATGTGTTAGGTAGATTAGCTTTCATATTTTATTTGCTTTCCCAATTCATTCCCTCAACAACTATTTTCTGAGTGCCTACTCTGTACACACGAGTGAACTCAAAAATCTCTGTGAAACATACCTTCCAGTTAGCTCTGAGTTCATCCATATGGAATAATAGGATTCATTAAGTTGAATTATATGAATTATAGTTTATCCACTTGAGATTAATTTTCTAAACAACACAACATCAAAAGAGCTGTAACTATTGCCCAATGTTGTATATATTTGATAGTCAAAAGTGTCTGGAAAGAAAATCCAGCCTTAAAACTTAAGTACATCATTCTTCAATACCAAAACAAAATTTGTTGGATGCTAAATGATGCCATGCTCGATTTAATCATGTTACATAATCATAGATTGTAGCAAAATTTAATTACTATTTTTACCAAATATTCCTTCTTGGCAACTCAGTAATATTGGGTAGTATCCACTATTGAATATTATTTGATAAAAATCCCCATGACTCAGAGCAATGTAAATATTATTTTCAGAAGAACCCCATGATTAGAAACTTGTTGACTTTCACTCTAGTCAAATGGATAAGATTTTTTTAAAAAACAATTATTTTCTCCTTTTTTATGTGCAAAGGAGAAAACTTAAGAGCTCAGATTATGGTGTCAGAAATCTCAGTTCAAATTTCAGTGTTGCTACTTGGTAGCTGGGTAGAACTAAAGGAAATTAAACTACATAAGCCTCATTTTTTCCACCCTAAATTTGAGAGGATAATAAACAATACTATCTTTATAAGTCTGTTGATGGGAATGTGGAACATTCACCTAGACAGACTATACGCTGAGCCATAAAACAAGTCTCAATAAATTTAACAAGTCATTGCTGTATCCCATCTGGCTGAAATAGTTCCTGTCACATAGGAATTCCGTAACATGAGTTGGATGAATGAATGAATGACTGTAGCCCTGCTTCCCAAATCCAACATACCTGTGGAGTCTTGTCCTCCCTTCAGATGGCCTCCTGCCATTGTGAAACCTGCACATTCCTTAGTAGCATTTCAAAACTGACATCTCTAGTACTAGGGTTTAGAGGAGAAAAGACGGGAGATTAAAATAGTTCCACTGTTTCCACTCTGCCTTGCCTGCTTAGTAAGTGAATTCAAGGACTGGTATGTGTCCAAGGGCAACTCAGTTTGGAGTTGCTGACAGCCTGGCCTGAAAGGCCTGTAGTTTCCCCACCGAATCGTGAGGAGGGAGGCTCCTGGTACACATAAGACAGTTTCCTTGGATAGGTGTATGGAAGAATTTATGGGGAAGCCACCAGGAAGACAATTTCTAAAAGGATAATTACACTAGATGAGTAAACCTTTATCTCCTCAATTCCTATGAGTTAAGCAAGATCCTCCTGGAAGGAATCCAAATTTAAACAGAGACTCAGCACCAGGACAGGAACTTCAACAGGTGGAAGAATAATAATAGCACCATTTACTCAGGGAGAAACATGTTCTAAGTACTATGCTAACTGGTTTTTTGTTATTGTTGTTGTTGGGTTTTTGTTTTGAAATGGAGTCTCCTCCGTAGCCCAGGCTGAAGTGCAGTGGTGTGATCTGCTCACTGCAACCTCCACCTCCCAGGTTCAAATGATTATCCTGCCTCAGCCTCCTGAATAGCTGGGACTTCAGGCACCTGCCACCACACCCGGCTAATTTTTGTACTTTTAGTAGAGATGGGGTTTCACCTTGTTCAGGCTGGTCAAGAACTCCTGACCTTAGGTGATACTCACGCCTTGGCCTCCCAAAGCGCTGGGATTATAGGGGCGAACCACCATGCCAGGCTGTTTTACATGTGTTTTAGATTTTTTTTGAGGGGGGGGCGATTTTTCTTTTTCTTTTTCTTTTTCTTTTTTTTTGAGACAGAGTCTCCCAAGTAGCTGAGATTATGGGCACGCCCAGTTAATTTTTGCATTTTTAATAGAGACGGGGTTTCACCATGTTGGTCAGGCTGGTCTTGAACTCCTGACTCAGGTGATCCACCTGCCTCAGCCTCTCAAAGTCTGGGATTACAGAAGTGAGCCACCATGCCAGCCAGTTTTTTTATTTTATTTTATTTTTTATTTTATTTTTTGGTCTTTACAACAACCTTATGATGTACTATTATTTTCCCCATTTTACATAT